TGTTACATAACCGGGTTGTAAGTGCCACATTACCGGGTTGTTAGTGCCACATTACCGGGTTGTTAGTGTCACATTACCGGGTTGTTAGTGCCACATTACTGGGTTGTTAGTGTCACATTACCGGGTTGTTAGCGCCACATTACCGGGTTGTTAGTGTCACATTACTGGGTTGTTAGTGTCACATTGCCGGGTTGTTAGCGCCACATTTCCAGGTTGTTAGTGTCACATTACCTGGTTGTTAGTGTCACATTACCGGGTTGTTAAGTGCCACATTACCGGGTTGTCAGTGTCACATTACCGGGTTGTTAGTGTCACATTACCGGGTTGTTAGTGTCACATAACAGGGTTGTTAGCGCCACATTACCGGGTTGTTAGTGTCACATTACTGGGTTGTTAGTGTCACATTGCCGGGTTGTTAGCGCCACATTTCCAGGTTGTTAGTGTCACATTACCTGGTTGTTAGTGTCACATTACCGGGTTGTTAAGTGCCACATTACCGGGTTGTTAGTGCCACATTACCGGGTTGTTAGTGCCACATTACCGGGTTGTTAGCGGCACGTCACCCAGCGAACGTGCCGGGTGACATGGCCCGGCACGTTCACCGCTTTCTGCAGAGGTTTGTGGTTCGAATTCGGCAATCCACTCGAGTAAATACTGCGGGCGGATTAACCGTAAAATAATACTCTGCGCTGTCTGCTTCACAGTGGACCATAAAGATGCCTAGACATCACTCAACACGAGTGAGCCATTGTTTCAGAAACAGAAGTTTATTTCCCGACAGTATCACAGCATTCCCCAACTACATACTCAACAACAACAAAAATCTTCATAGCTATTAATGAGGACAGCGATGGCAGAATGGAGATGCCGAGAGGCGAAACTAGGTGGTTCCAAACACTTTTGGGTAGCTACAATAAATGCTTTTGATCCAAATCATGTGCGAAATATGAGAACCATTCTTAGGCAATCAGACGCGCCTCACAAATGTTTAAGATTATCCAATGGTAATAACAACGGTTGAGACAAATAGAGAGCATATCTACGGACAGTCGTCTTGTGAATAAGAATAGCCCTGCAGTGAAAACGTCTTCTCACGTCCAAGGACATTTGTCCAGCCATGGCACAGAGGTCACATTGCCGCGTCCTCCCCGATGGGGCATCAACTGCGAAACGTTTCGCGCCTGCGTCATGGTCCAAATTTGCCAAATTAAAAACCTGCAAATTACTCAGTTGGGATCACACACAGCAACATCGCCCCCCTCCTGTGACCACACAGCTTCTTTGTGATGGCATTCCGCAGTGAGAAGGGCACGAACACCAACTGTGCTCAGTCATCGAGATTAATTATTGAGTGGTTCCAGCGATGGCCGTTGAGTGATGTGATCAGAGAGATCAGACTGACAGCAGGTTGCGACTTGACGAGATTTTACACATTGCGCTAAGGGGTCCGCTCAGCCCATCATTCCTCTGCGATCGATAACAAATTAGTGTTAGAAACATTTTGTGGAAAATAAACAGTCATCCTGTGATTTATTTCCCACCATAGGAATGAGGAATTCCTACTACTGGCTTAGGGCAGTCAACAGAGATGATCACCGCAGCGAGACTGTAGCTGCCATGTGATCTCCAAGGCGGCACAAGCAAATATGAATTAATCCACATTTGTTTTCCCACGGCAGAACGTGTGTTCACGACCTGCTCAATTGTACTCCCACGTCAGGATTAAGCTAAGCGATAAAGATTAGGGTTCGGTGATTAGGGTCCAGTGGTTAGGGTTAGAGGTGAGGCACTGCATTGGTGAGGACAAAGTTAGCACCACGCAAAGAGTATAAAATGGCAATAATGTACTGTACAATGCTGAAAGCAAATTGAGAAACTTTCACGAATACATTTGGAGAGAGGTATTACACGAAGGTTTCAGTTGAAATTGAATATCACCATCCTAGAATCTCACCCAGACCCGAAAGAATGCCGGAGAAAAGAATAGAGCAGAAAAACGTGGACGTCCAATCCCAAACACCGCACCCCTTGGCTTGGGCATTCCTCCTCCTCCAAGACATCGGTGTAACCATCAACCGCATCAGAACACCACCAGGTCGACGCACGCATCTCCTTCATAAATGAACAATTCAAGACACAAGCCACAGTAGTGCAATTGTGCCCATGCAACCCAAACTATGGACCACACGGTAAACCCACTGTAGTCTGCGCTCATTCAACAGAGGAGGAGGAACAGCAAAATGACACGAACTCTCTCTCTCTGCTGAAGCCCTCTCGTCGTGGCCAGCAGACCTCGACACTGGCATCGGGCTCTTGAACAGATTGCTGCCGTACACAAGAGTAGAATGTGAAAAACAAAAGGCGTGCAAATGTTTGTTCCCAAGGGGAACAGATATTCTCTCCTGGGACAAGCGCATGTGCGGAGGAACGTGCACATGTTTTACGACTGGCTCGACTCAGCGCTGTTATTTTCTATTTAGTTCCATATCAGCAGAGGCGGGCCCTGTTCTCAGGAGTCTTCGAGGCATGGGGATGTGGCGCACCGTGGGATGTAGCGTGAAGTGGGATGTGGCACGCAACAGAAACATCTCTGGGAGTGAAAAAACAAAAGTGGAGGCGACTATATAAAAAATATTTAAAAAAGAGTTGCCCTTGATTGCAAATTGCGGTCGATACGGCAGGGGTGACAAGAACACGATCCGAGTGCAAGTTCACAATGACTTGCAGGGGAGACCCGCGGTCCACAGTCCAGTGAGACAATCCATTGTCACAGTGAACATCAGAGTCGGGGGTCAAACTCCAGCATCTGCGTCTTGGTAGAACGCCACCCCCACACCCACCACTATCTGCGTGGGTTGGGTCAATGGTGAATCATTGTTGCGAGGGCGAGACGGGCTAGCTTGGTGACTCCGCTCGGGTCGCCGCGAGGTCACATGGAACAAACGCCAGCACCTGGTCAGCGTGGAACGGTGGGCAGTGGTCGCAGGCTACCGCGGTCTGTGTCAGCGAGATTGCTTCAAATTTCCGAGCTGTCTTGGGACTAGCTGGAGAAATAACTTGACTTACATAATTCATAATCATAAGAATAATTCACAGCTCTGTATATGGATGCAGGCTTCGCCGTACCGTGTTCGCCTTGAGGGCTGTTTGTCCATACTTCACCATCCTGATAAATTGCGGGTGGGAAGAGTGGGAGAGGGGCCAGACAGGGCCATTGCAGATGCTACTCCATTGACAGCGTTAGGAGTGGCGGCATCTGTCCAACACGGTGCCGTGCCGCATCTGGGGCGGCAGGGTGGTGGTGGTGGTGGAAGTCGCGCCTCGATTGTCGGGCTCGATTCCCGACTCGGGCGTCTCTATGTATGGAGTTTTGTATATTCTCTCCCTCTGTTCTGCAACGGGTTTCCTCCGGTTTCCTTCCATACCTAAAAATACAACAACGGAACTCGTATTGGTGAAAAAATCCCAAATACTGAAAAGTCTCCTGCAAATGACTCAATTAGGATCACATACAGCAGCTGCGACAACATCGCCCCCATACTGCGACAAATGTAGCAACACTCTCCTGAACAACAGAAAGTCTTGGGACTCGGTGAGATTTTCATGGTTCAGTGAGCTGAACGAGCAACATCTGGCAGGTCGGCAGCATTGGTACAAGCCAGCCTGACACTGCTGATGAGAGACACATCGAATGTCCAACCCGGTCCAGAGTTTTGCTTGTGTTGAAGCGACGCTGCTGATTTAATGCACTACCAGAAGGACGTGTGGCCCTTGGGATGTGCATCTATTATTTTACACGCTTTCTATTAACTCACTCTGTCTGTTGTTATTGTTGTTGTATCCTCAAATCTTGTAACTCAATTTTAACCCACTTCCCAATGTGGTATCGACTGCAAACTTGGTATAATTATGTCATACTGATGACAATACTAGATTATATCAACAAATATATATTTTTAAACATTCTTTTTATATGTTATGTTTCAGCTTGGGTCTCATTGTCCACGCTGAACTCACGTTGGCTGTAAATCACCACGGTCCCCTTACGTTATGGCAAGCTTCGGGGCCACTTCCTGGAGTCGTGGTGGAGTTCTGCCATTACGAGTACGGTACATTTCATTAAAGCGTGTTTTAAAAAAAAAGTTTTTTTTTATTTTTATAGACTGGAAGTGAATTGTCACTTGCAGTGTTTATGTCGGGTTAGACTCGATTGGCCTGTGTAACCCCTGCAGCCGCTAGAGGCGCTGCATCACCACCAGCACCAGCACGTGAGACGAGACACATTGCATTGTCGTTTCGCTACAATCCTGCGTGCAGTGGCTGCCGCCTGATGATGCCGGTTGTAATTACTTGCGAAACGTCGTACTCAAGATTGTAAATGTTGTGTGGCTTTGCTCTCCAACACACCGGTGTGCTGTACTCGTGACGAATTGGTTCTTTCGGTAAAGTCACCACGTTAGAAGGGAAACAATAAAATAATAAAAATTAAACATAATAAAAATAAAATTATCACGACGTTTCGGCCACAACGCAAGCAGCCGTCCTCAGGTGAAGAAACAGCTGAAACTGAAACAGCTACTCCAGCGCAGTCCTCCAGACAGTCTCGTCCCCTTCACCTGATGAAGGCCGCTTGTGTTGTGGCCGAAACGTCGTGAGAATATTATTGTGTTATTTTATTTTATCAATTTATTATTTTATTCTCATTCTACGTGACTTTACCGAAAGAACCAAAGAAGATGAATCATTGCAGTCACGAAAGCTTTAAATCGAAAGATAAATATTCTGTTAGGGGAATCTATTAATCGACTACGCAACTGTATCGATCCAGACCCACGCGTCACCCCCCCCCCAACCTTGCAATCTATTCGATCCAACGTCACTTATCGAACCATTTTAAATCGATCCTCCTCGTCAGGTTCCGTCTTCTCGTCCCGGGATCGTTTCACCCGCAGTTGTCGAATCGATTTCTTACTCGGACATCGTTGACGCAAAGGAATCGTTTTGTGGCGTAATCTGCGTGACGATTCTCTCACTTCGATTCGATCCGACGATGGCGTCGCTGTGTTTGTCTCGGGCTCTGCGCGGCGTCACCCGTCGCGCCACCCGCGTGAGTCGCTCCCTCGTCCTCCTCCTTTCCCCCCTCGTCGTCCACCCTCGTCACCCCCTCGTTAATCGGCTCCAACTTAATCGCGGCGGGGGGGGGGGGAAGCACGCGCCATCCCTTGCGAAGCGCGCGGCGCCGAGGTCACGGGGACACTAGTCCCACTCGGGTCTCGCTAGGCCGCGGGGCTTCTGGTTCACGGTGTCGCGGAGATGCGGCGAAGGCAGCCTCAGAGATCGGCGCTCGTCGCACGCGGCCTCTGCGTTACAGCGACGAGGCCGCAGCCGTCGCAGCAGCAGCAGCGGCGGCGGCACGGTCCCGCCGGAGCTCGGCTCGCACGGCCGGGTTCGCGTGCCACATCCACCCCCCACCCCGGGGACACTTTCTCGACTCTGGCCCGTGCCGTTTGCGGTGGTGGTTTTTTTGTTGTACTTGATTTGATGAGAGCGGATTTCAGCGAGTTGTGAGATTTCGTGTGGGGGGGGGGGGGGAGGTTGTGTTATCGCGCAGATTTTGCCAACCGCTTGGTTGTTGTGCGCGTCAGGATGAATAGACGCCGGCTGGCCTGTGTGGGATTCGCAATTGCCGCTACGTAAGCGTCCCAGTGGTCTCCCAGCGGTCATCAGATGCGTTCGTGTTAACGTGAGGCCGGGTAGATTATATGAGGACTACGTAGTGGCGCTGACCTTGTCTCTCCCATCTGACCTTGTATTGCTTTTCTTGCTCTGCGTCTCCCCGTGTTGTCTCCTACCTGTCCCCCCCCCCCCCCCCCCCTTGTCTGCAGGCCGACCCTTTGTCTCCTGGAACCTGTACACCCCTTGTCCCATCTTCCCTCCTCGTTCCCCATCTAATGTTGTCTCTATCCTGTGTCTGACCCCAACCCTGGGACTCTCCTTGCACGTCGCATCCTGCCCCATGTCTCCCCTTGTCATACTCCACCTGACCTTGCAACTTTTTCCTTTTATATTTGTCTGCCCTATGCATCGTGTATTGTCTTCCCTTATACCGGTATGTCTCCCGTTGTCTGCTGTCTGCCATATGTCCCGTCCTGTCTCCCATCTGACCTTGTGTCTCTACTTGTCTGGCTGTCACGTGTCCCTTGACTTTTTACATGACCCTGTATCTTCAATTGTCTCCTGTCTACCTGACGTCTCAAATTGTCTCCCATCTGTCCGGCGTCCCCCTCCCCCCCAATCGCCCATCGGTGTCCCCTTGTCTCCCGCCTGTGTTCGTTGTCTCCCATTATTTTTTTTGTCTCTTCCACCTGCTGACACGTCTCCCTTTGTCTCAATCATCCAACCACCCTCCGTCGTCGCCCCCCCCCCCCCGTCCAACGCCTCCGCTCTGTTGTTGACTGATGCAGGCGCCATGGCGGGTGAGTCGCTGCATGAGCACCAAGGGGGATGTGGGCTACGCACAGGCGCTGCTCAACATCCCTGAGACGCAGGTGTCCACACTCGACAATGGCCTCCGTGTGGCCTCCGAGAACTCGGGCCTCCACACGTGCACGGTAAGTGATAGCCTCACCACCCCCCACCACCCACCACTCTTACACTACCCTTACCCACACATTACCCTTACCCCCAAAGACAGATCCTCCGTGTAACCTTCAACAGACCGGTGGGGCAATGGATGTTATTGCTGCCCACCCTCCATCACACATCCCTTACCACCCACCACCCTCACCTCCTTGGCATTACTCTCACAAAAGGGACAGCACAATCACCATCTGGGTCGTATTTTACTTGAGTCAGGGATGGGGAACCTATTGTCCATCGGACAAACAGCCCATGATCAGGCGAGGCCTCCCACTTTAAACAGCCCGCATTATATGTATCAATCACTTTGCGGCTAATCGGGTACTATGGGGGAATATTTTGAACCGTGTTTCGAATTCTAGGACACTTGGTCACTTCTGTCACAACAAGAGGCCCTTTGAATTACAGGAGTGGTGCTTGCAATGACAGCCAACAGAGGGTAATTGAAATGCAGTAAAACCTTGGATTGCGAGCATAATTCGTTCCGGAAACGTGTTTGTAATCCAAAGCACTCGTATATCAAAGCACTCGTATATCAGTTGTGATCACGTGACGCTCGGCAGACAAAGCGTATTCGTACTGCTCGTATTGCAAGACCTCGCTCGTTTATAAATGTATTATTTATTTAAAAAATTTGCTCCTCTTGCAAAACACTCGCAGACCAAGTTACTCGTAATCCAAGGTTTTACTGTACCTATTGAGCCCTGCTACAGTAGAGCTGTCTGTTATCAGGGCTGTGCTTGTGAGGAGGCTCTGGTTAAATACTTTTAAATTAGTTTATTTTATATACCAGGTAAAGCCTACTTAGCTTTTTTCAGATGCGACCTGACCACAAATGATCGCTCAACGAAGTGGCTTATCACATGGAAATCTAAACCAGCCAAATGCACATTTCAAAATGTGGAGGGAAAAACTGGAGAAAAATGTACGCGACCACGGGGAGAACGTGCAAATTCCAAATATACAGATATCAGGGTGGGGATCGAACCCACGATCTCCTGCATACCAGGCGAGGGAGATAACATCTCGCCATGTGCGGAGTGAGCAGGTTGGGCTTTGGATCGACGCCGGCAGCCGCTACGAGAATGAGAAGAACAACGGGACCGCCCACTTCCTGGAGCACATGGCCTTCAAGGTGCGAGTGGTCACGTGACCTAGCGTGAGCGCCCTGACCCCCACGCCTTTCCCTTCCTCCCACAACCACCCATGTCACCGCAGGGCTCTCCTATGGCCCATTCCCATTGTCTGTCTGTGCCTGCGTGCGGGTGTGTGCGTTGTGTCCGGGAAGCGGGAGTGTAGTGCTAAGCACACTGCTGCGAACCCAACAACCCGAGGTAGATTCCCGGTCATAAACAAAAACAGTGGTGAGTATTGGAGCCAGTGCTCTGTCTGCCTTAGGTAAACGCAACCTAAAATGATTACCTGGTGCGATGTGTAAACATCAGCACCGGATAGACGGAGGCGGCCGGGTATGGAGTTAGCTAACCATCCCGTGTCATGCTCTGCCGGCCTTCATAGGTGCTCGCCAACAGCACTTGCCCCAATAGTCCGTTAAAGGCTACACGGGGGATCTTTTTCTTTGTTTGCCTGCACGTGTTTATGTGCCTGTGCTTGTGTGCATAAATGTGTACGTGGATAGGGCACGAAGAAGCGCTCCCAGCTCGACCTGGAGCTGGAGATTGAGAACATGGGCGCTCACCTCAACGCCTACACATCACGTGAGCAGACCGTCTACTTCGCCAAGGCCTTCGCAGAGGACCTGCCCAAAGGTGAGTGCGCCGCGCCAGGGTGGTCCCCGCACCACCCAAGTTCACTTTCCTCCTCGGTGCAACATCATTGTCACGGTGGTCCACACAATAGCTCTGCTGGCCCTCGTTGTCCGAGAGTAGCTGCAGCCGGGCCTGGTGCTGGGCTCGCACCAGACAGCCCGTGTCCTTATGCGGGTGGAGAAGTGGCGCTGTGGTTAGGGCTCTTTGTTGTGAACCCGGTGACCTATGAACTGCCTTAGCAACACGAGTGTGACGCCGCGCTCCTCCGACCCGTATACACGCTTGAGCTGTCTGCCATCGAAGGTGGTTTGGCGTTGCGCTGGCCACCCATCCCCTCGTGTGCCATCCCGGCCTGCATAGGTGCTTGCTTAACATCACTTGCCCCAACAGTCTGTTAAGTCTATTCGGGGATCTTTGTCTTTGTAAATGCATGTGTGTGTGACTGCGTGCGTCTCCAGCTGTGGAGATCCTGGCGGACATAATTCAGAACAGCACGTTGGGCGAGGCGGAGATGGAGCGCGAGCGCGGGGTGATCCTGCGCGAGATGCAGGAGGTGGAGACCAACATGCAGGAGGTGGTGTTCGACTACCTCCACGCCACCGCCTACCAGGGCACTGCGCTCGGCAGGACCATCCTGGGGCCCACGAAAAACATCAAGTACGCGCTACCGCCTCTCCCGCCACGCTCTCGCTCGCATATGGTAGAGCCGAGCCGAGGTCCGCTATAATTACGGTGAAAAAGGAGTAGGCTTAACCCTTTGCGGCAATAATACGGCTGTTGTGACGTTCCAATAGTCCCGTAGATATAATTATGGTGTCCCGCGTAGATTAAGCGCGTTTTTGTATTTGCGCTCGGCTAATGCGAGCGCGCGAGAGCGGCGCCGCGTTTATCCGTGGGACCCGGAGGTCGTGCCTCCACGTGAAACGAGCCGGCGCTGAGGGCCGGGTGCGGGCACGTGCGGCGCGTGCAGGTCGATTGCGCGCGGAGACCTGGTCGACTACATCAGCACCCACTACAAGGGGCCCCGCATGGTGCTGTCGGCCGCGGGAGGTACGAACACGGATGCGCACACTTGCGCACACACGCACACTTGCACACACGCTCATACTTACACTTTGATACACATGCACACTTGCACACACTTGAATGCACACACGCACGCAGTTACGCGCACACAAGAATGTTAAATTAAGTTGCGAAGAGCTTTTTAAGTGAGGCATGGTCGAGTGTTAGTGGTGGCAATAAACCACCGCTTTCATGGGTGCTTGATAACAGCACTTCCCCAAAAGTCCATAAAGGTTATATCGGGGATTTTTGTCTCTGTGTTTGTATTCTTACACATTTCTCTGCGTGTGTGCGTGTATGTGTCTGGAGAGAGTGGAGAGTTTCCCATACCTGGGCAGTGTGCTTATGACTGGCTCCAGTTTAACAGCAGAGGTCTCACTCCGAATCAGTCGAGCAGGCAATATCTTTTCATCGGTTGCGTAACGCTGTGTGGAAGCTACCTGGTCTGTCGCTCCGCACTAAGCTTCAGGTCTTCTCGGCCACCGTCATTCCCTCCCTTCTCTACGCTTGCGAAACGTGGACCCCCCTAATGGAACATCTTCGCCGGTTAGAAACATTTAGGCTGGCCTGCCTACGATCCATCCTGGGTTTAACCAGACTGAATTGTGTGAGGAGCTCACAAATCCTTCAAAGATCTGGGCAAGGTCCCATCGGTGAGCTCCTCCGGCGGGGAAGGCTGCGATGGCTGGGTCATGTAGCCCGCATGCCCAGCCACCGCATGCCGAAACAGCTTTTGTTCGGCCGGATTGAGGGGGCTAAGCGGGCGCGGCACGGGCTAGAGAAGAGATGGAGTGATGTGGTACAGGAGGACGTGGAGCTGAGTGGACTTGCCGATGACTGGTACAAGCGGTGTCAAGATCGGCCACTGTGGAGGAGGCTCGTGAAGGACGCTACTGGGCAGTTGGAGGTAGTCGCCCTCCAACAACAACGGAGGGCGGAGGAGCGACGCTCAGAACAACGAGCGGAGCGCCGGGTGGCTAAAGCACAGCAGGTTGGCACAGTAGGGGGCACAGGTGGTGCATCAGCCAGTCATCTCAGTCAGTCGACCCGTGGCACCTGGGTCTGCCCCGTGACCTCCTACCAGCGGGCGTTCGACACTTCACGTGGCCTCAGGGTGCACATAGCCTGGCACAAGCGTCGTGGTGACGTTACCGCCACTTGGTGGCGAATGGCGGTTGTTGTTGTTGTCTGCGCATGCCGCTGTGCGTCTCTACATCGCATGCAGGAATTCGCCACGACGAGCTGGTGCAGTTGGCCCAGAAGCACCTGGGCAACCTTCCCTTCCAGTACGAGGGAGACGAGGTGCCCGTGCTGCCCATATGCCGCTTCACCGGCAGCGAGGTGCGACTCCGGGACCCCCCCCCTCCCCCGCAATGACCCCCCCGTGATCGCCCGGCATGATGACCCCGAGATCCCCCCGTGATGAACCCGCGACCTCCCTGCGTGCCGTGCGAAGGCGGCCGTGGCGATGCCTGCCAGGCGCCCTAGCGAGTGGTGCGCCCCTCCCGACGTGGCCGCCGTATGCGTGCGGTGCAGATCCTGGTGCGTGACGACAAGATGCCCCTGGCTCACGTGGCGCTGGCGGTGGAGAGCGTTGGCTGGCCCGAGGCCGACACCATCCCCCTCATGGTGGCCAACACGCTCATCGGCAACTGGGATCGCTCCTACGGAGGCGGCGCCGTGAGTCCCACTCCCACCGCTCCGTATGCCTGCAGCTGCACGTGTGTGTACAGCTGCCCGTGTGTGTGGATGGCTGCCTGTGTGTGTGTAGCTGTCTTTGTGTGCGCGTGTCTGCAGCTGCCTATGTGTACAGCTCCCTGCGTGTGCGTCTGTCTACAGCTGCCTGTGTGTATTGTGCGAGTGTGTGTCTGCAACTGTCTTTGTCTGTGTACAGGTGTGTGTGCTGTGTGTCTTCAACTGTCTGTATGTCTACAGCTGTGTTGTATGTCTACAGCTGTGTGCGTGCAGCTGCCTGTGTGTATCTCCAGCTATCTTGTGTTTACAGCCGTGTGTGCGGTCCCGTGCACGTACAGCCGCGCGCTGCTTGTGGAGCTGTCGAGTCAGCCGTGTGGACGGCCCGCCCACTCTTTTCTTGCGCCCCACTCCTTGGCAGAACCTGTCGAGCAAGCTGGCGCAGACTTTGGCGCAGAAGAGCGTCTGCCACAGCTACCAGTCGTTCAACACGTGCTACTCTGACACGGGGCTCTGGGGCACGTACATGGTGTGCGACTCCATGGGCATCGAGGAGACGATCCACTGGGTGCAGGCCGAGTGGTGCGTGTGCGACGTCTTCTCCATCCTCTGTTCTCTACCATCCTCTTCATTTCCTCTAACGACCCCTTTCAGCTCCTCCAACTTCCCACCACCGTGCCGTGTGTCACCCCGTGCCGTGTGTCACCACCGTGCCGCATCTCTGTGCCGTGTGTCACCACCGTGCCGCGTCTTTGTGCCGTGTGTCACCACCGTGCCGTGTGTCACCACCGTGCTGCGTCTCACCGTCCCGGGTGTCCTCACCGTACCGTGTCTCAGTGCCGTGTATCTCGCCCTGCAGGATGCGCCTGTGCACGTCCGTGACCGACAGTGAGGTGACTCGCGCCAAAAACCTCCTCAAGACCAACATGCTGCTGCAGCTCGATGGTGCGTGTCTGTGAGCGTGTGCGTGTTTCCGTTGGTGCTATAGCTGAGTGAGCAGTGGTAAGGGCAGCGATTAGAGCGGTGCGCTACGATCCCAGCAACCCGAGTTCGATTCCCGCTCGCAGCCAACACCAGTGACGATTATCTGAAGATGTCCCAGGCCTCCCCTAAGTAGACTCGGCCTCAAATGAGTATCTTGTGCGGAGTGTAAACATCAGCACTGGGGAGACGAAGGCAGCCAGGCATACTGCTGGCCACCCACCCCATCGTGTACCATACCGGCCTTCATAGGTGATGCTCTCCAACAGCCAGACGCTGGCCCAACTCCTCATCAGCCAATGCTGACCTCATCTCGAGCCAACCAGCCTGTAGAGCTATCCCTCCCTGTAAACATACAAATTTAGCCAACCAGCCACGAGTACTAACCCTATCCAACTAGCCAACCAGTCACTAGCACGAGGCCTCCCTCTGGTCATATCCCGAATCACTGTAGCTAACCACGCACCAATCCTACCCGACTATCCATCGGCCACCGCCCGGCATTGATGGCGGCGGTGCTGGCCCTTGCCCGGCATTCGTCGGTGGTGGGGTTGGCCGGCGGGGGTCGTAGTTCTCACACCGTTGTTTGTGTCGCGCCCGCGTGCGACACCCAGGTTCCACTCCGATCTGCGAGGATATCGGGCGGCAGATGCTGTGCTACGGGCGGCGCATTCCCCTGACCGAGTTGGAGGCGCGAATCGACGTACGTGGGCACTCGCGCTGATCCCCGTGAAGCCGCAGGGCTCGTGGCCTCGCTGTGGCCCCGCTGTGGCCCCGCTGTGGCCTCGCTGTGGCCCCGCTGTGGCCTCGCTGCGGCCTCGCTGCGGCCTCGCTGGGGCCTCACTGCGGCCTCGCTGCGGCCTCACTGTGGCCTCGCTGTGGCCTCGCTGTGGCCCCGCTGTGGCCCCGCTGTGGCCCCGCTGTGGCCCCGCTGTGGCCTCCCTGTGGCCTCGCTGCGGCCTCGCTGCGGCCTCGCTGGGGCCTCACTGCAGCCTCGCTGTGGCCTCGCTGCGGCCTCGCTGTGGCCTCCCTGTGGCCCCGCTGTGGCCTCGCTGTGGCCTCGCTGTGGCCTCGCTGTGGCCTTGCTGTGGCCCCGCTGTGAATGAGACCACATTACTCCCCAATACTTACATCCCCCCTGTTGGCTCCTAGTACAGTTCCAGTACAACTCCAAGATGACAATCTCATAATTATCATTGCATTGACATGGCGCTCGTCTGAATGCCTCGGCAACTCAAATTGCCCTCCATGACATCTCAAACATTTGGAGGGTACCCCCAATGTGGCGCAGTGTGATTCGGCACCAGCATGCAAGTGGGCATCGGTGTGTGTTTAAGGTTAATACCGTACAATTAACCAGGGCAGCCTGCCAGGTTTCTACCTTGGACCTCCGCAACAAGCTGCAAACACGCTACAGCTGGGCTGTGGTGCTTAGCGTCTACAAAATCCTCCACACGCTCGTGTTAGCGTGCATGTCGCTTGGTGCATCCGTAGATTGTGCGTGTGGTATTACGAGGAACACGTTTGTAACAATGTGTGCTTAAGACGGTGTGCGTGTGAGTAGCGTGGTCTTTTGGGTTATTCGAGGCTCGTGTGTTCCGTGGTTTGTGGCCGTGCGTGTAATGCATCTGTGTGTGTGTGTGTGTAACACGGTGTGTGTGTGTGTGCGCGTATGTACCGCGTGTCTAGGCTGTGGATTCCAAGGTTCTGCGCAGGGTCTGCTCCCACTACATCTACGACAAGTGCCCGGCCATCGCCGCCGTCGGTGAGTCAGCCTGGGGGATCCACGCTCATGACTAAACTCACACACAGCACCACCCACATACACAGCTCCACACTCGGCTCCACCGACACAGTGGAGTCTGTGTGGTAGTGGCGGAGACGGCGCGCTCAAAGTTGAGACCGTTAACGTTCTGTGTAACCGTGTGCTCAATATTTCCCATCCTTCCCGATGCCTACAGGTCCCATCGAGCAGCTGCCCGACTACAACCGCATTCGCAGTGCAATGTATTGGCTGCGTCTGTAGCCGCTGGCGTGGCACACGGAACTGGCGACCGCGCCAACACGACCCCCCCCCCCCCTCCCCCCGCTCCACAATAGTAAACACAAAACAAAATTGTTCACGTCCCGCTGAGATGATGCGTGCGCACGTCGCATCCATCCATGGTCCTCTTGAACAATAAAGGTTGAACTTCTCATCCGAGCCAAGCCGAAGCGCCGAGTGAGTTGGTGCGCGTGACCCTGCGTGGCCGGGGAAACGGGATGGGGGGGGGCCGCCCTTCTGAGACTACGGAGCCACAGGCCACGCGTCCTGAGAGGCCGCAAGGAGGCACGCGCAGTCTGGGGACGTGAAGCTTCAGTCGTCATCGGCGTACTCACCGATACTAGCCACCCAGTGACTAGTACCAGCCCCTTACAGTACCCAACTAGCCACCCAGTGACTAGTACCAGCCCCTTACAGTACCCAACTAGCCACCCAGTGACTAGTACCAGCCCCTTACTGTACCCTTCTAGCCACTCAGTGACTAGTACCAGCCCCTTACTGTACCCTTCTAGCCACCCAGTGACTAGTACCAGCCCCTTACCGTACCCAACTAGCCACCCAGTGACTAGTACCAGCCCCTTACTGTACCCTTCTAGCCACCCAGTGACTAGTACCAGCCCCTTACTGTACCCTTCTAGCCACACGGTGACTAGTACCAGCCCCTTACTGTACCCAACTAGCCACCCAGTGTCTAGTATCAGCCCCTTACTGTACCCTTCTAGCCACCCAGTGACTAGTACCAGCCCCTTACTGTACCCAACTAACCACCCAGTGTCTAGTACCAGCCCCTTACTGTACCCAACTAGCCACCCAGTGTCTAGTACCAGCCCCTTACTGTACCCAACTAGCCACCCAGTGACTAGTACCAGCCCCTTACTGTACCCAACTAGCCACCCAGTGACTAGTACCAGCCCCTTACAGTACCCTTTTAGCCACCCAGTGACTAGTACCAGCCCCTTACTGTACCCTTCTAGCCACCCAGTGACTAGTACCAGCCCCTTACTGTACCCTTCTAGCCACCCAGTGACTAGTACCAGCCCCTTACTGTACCCAACTAGCCACCCAGTGACTAGTACCAGCCCCTTACAGTACCCTTCTAGCCACCCAGTGACTACTACCAACCCCTTACTGTACCCTTCTAGCCACCCAGTGACTAGTACCAGCCCCTTACTGTACCCTTCTAGCCACCCAGTGACTAGTACCAGCCCCTTACAGTACCCTTCTAGCCACCCAGTGACTAGTACCAGCCCCTTACTGTACCCTTTTAGCCACCCAGTGACTAGTACCAGCCCCTTACTGTACCCTTCTAGCCACCCAGTGACTAGTACCAGCCCCTTACTGTACCCTTCTAGCCACCCAGTGACTAGTACCAGCCCCTTACTGTACCCTTCTAGCCACCCAGTGACTAGTACCAGCCCCTTACAGTACCCTTCTAGCCACCCAGGGACTAGTACCAGCCCCTTACTGTACCCTTCTAGCCACCCAGTGACTAGTACCAGCCCTGACCGTACCCAACTAGCCACCCAGTCATTTGTCTGGGTTAACAAGCTTAATAAAACAGGAACTAAAAATATAACAAAGTAATAATAAAACATACGATTACACTTTGCACTGAGCCTCGCACGAACTCTTAACTTCCCCTCTGGCTCCGCCAGGCTCCGTGTCCGTTTGTTGGTTTGCTGGTCAGTTGTGGTGGGCACTCTGTGTGTGTGTGAATGTCTGACCGTCATGATAAATCATCACGTCCCGTTCATATTCACTCAAAATACATCGTAAAACTTGAGTAATTATCAGCATTGTTGGTATATTTGCCACCAGTACCAATGAATGTAATTAATTGCAATCTATCAGCTGTCTGAATCATGACAACCTGACACTTTGCCAGTGGGGTCATATTCATCATTGTCAAATTCTCCACCACATTCACCATTTCATTTGGAGGGAGTTTTCTCATCCTGAGAATCCCACTAGCCTGAGTCCCAGTGAGAGGCCTTGTCCTTGCAGGTGATTGGCTTTTTAGCATTTGGGTAGGACAAGGGGTGGTTTCAGTGGGATTAGGGATAGGGTTGATTAGAGCAATCGGTTCAAAACTAATCTGGTGATGCTGCGTTGGCAGTGATGCACAAATAACAACGCTCACATTCGTTAATACTGCCTTTTAAAGGAAAACATTTGGTTATGTTGAGATGTCGGGGTGGTTCGTTTGTGGTTACACTGGTTTGGGTGAGTGGTAATTCTGAAGGTTGGTTAGTGGCTGGTTGAGTGGACTACCACGTCGTGCTAATGCTGGTGGCGAGCTGCTTTGGGGGATTTGGTCAGCAGAAAGGCGCTAACTCGATTGTGGGCTCGTTTCTTTGAGATGAGGATCGTATTTGACTAATAGAGTTATGGCTAGGGCGAGCATCGCTATGGTTAGAATTTGGTAGCCTAGTGTGGTTATGGCCAGACCAAGTGTTGTGGTTAGATTTAGCATTTGGTTGGCTAGTCTTTATGACTCGGGCTAGTGTGGTAATGGTTAGGGCTATCGACTTTGCTTGCGTGGTTATTGCTAGTGTGGCTAGGGTTAGTATGTGGTTGGCTAATGTGGTTATGTCTATGGCTAGTGTAGTGTTGGCTAGGGCTAGTGCGATATTGGCTAGGGCTCGTGTGGTATTGGCTAGGGCTAGTGTGGTATTGGCTAGGGCTAGTGTGGTATTGGCTAGGGCTAGTGTAGTATTGGCTAGGGATAGTGTGGTATTGGCTAGGGCTAGTGTGGTATTGGCTAGGGCTAGTGTATTGGCTAGGGCTAGTGTGGTATTGGCTAGGGCTAGTGTACTATTGGCTAGGGCTAGTGTAGTATTGGCTAGGGCTAGTGTGGTATTGGCTAGGGCTAGTGTAGTATTGGCTAGGGCTAGTGTAGTATTGGCTAGAGCTGGTGTATGTATTGGCTAGGGCTAGTGTGGTATTGGCTATGGCTAGTGTAGTATTGGCTAGGGCTGGTGTAGTATTGGCTAGGGCTGGTGTAGTATTGGCTAGGGCTAGTGTAGTATTGGCTAGGGCTAGAGTAGTATTGGCTAGGGCTAGAGTGGTATTTGCTAGGGCTGGTGTAGTATTGGGTAGGGCAAGTGCAGTGTTGGCTATGGCTAGTGTAGTATTGGCTAGGGCTGGTGTAGTATTGGCTAGGGCTTGTGTGGTATTGGCTAGGGCTAGTGTAGTATTGGCTAGAGCTAGTGTAGTATTGTCTAGGGCTAGTGTGATATTGGCTAGGGCTAGTGTGGTATTGTCTAGGGCTAGTGTGGTATTGTCTAGGGCTAGTGTGGTATTGGCTATGGCTAGTGTGGTATTGGCTAGGCGTAATGTACTATTGGCTAGGGCTAGTGTACTATTGGCTAGGACTAGTGCAGTGTTGGCTAGGGCTAGTGTAGTATTGGCTAGGGCTGGTGTGGTTTTGACTAGGGCTAGTGTGGTATTGGCTAGGGCTAGTGTGGTATTGGCTAGGGCTCGTGTAGTATTGGCTAAGGCTAGTGTGGTATTGGCTAGTGCTAGTGTAGTATTGGCTATGGCTAGTGTGGTATTGACTAGGGCTAGTGTGGTATTGGCTAGGGCTAGTGTGGTATTGGCTAGGGCTAGTGTAGTATTGGCTATGGCTAGTGTGGTATTGACTAGGGCTGGTGTGGTATTGACTAGGGCTAGTGTAGTATTGGCTAGGGCTAGTGTAGTATTGGCTAGGGCTAGTGTACTATTGGCTAGGGCTAGTGTACTATTGGCTAGGGCTAGTGTGGTATTGGCTAGGGCTAGTGTAGTATTGGCTCGGGCTAGTGTGGTATTGGCTCGGGCTAGTGTAGTGTTGGCTAGGGCTAGTGTACTATTGGCTAGGGCTAGTGTACTATTGGCTAGGGCTAGTGTGGTATTAGCTAGGGCTAGTGTAGTATTGGCTCGGGCTAGTATGGTATTGGCTAGGGCTAGTGTACTATTGGCTAGGGCTAGTGTACTATTGGCTAGGGCTAGTGTACTATTGGCTCGGGCTAGTGTACTATTGGCTAGGGCTAGTGTGGTATTGGCTAGGGCTAGTGTAGTATTGGCTCGGGCTAGTATGGTATTGGCTAGGGCTAGTATACTATTAGCTAGGGCTAGTGTACTATTGGCTAGGGCTAGTGTACTATTGGCTCGGGCTAGTGTACTATTGGCTAGGGCTAGTGTACTATTGGCTAGGGCTTGTAGTTGGTTGCTGCTGCTCCTGTCCCGCCGCTGCTCGGGCTCGCGGTGTCGTGGCGCCTGCGTGAAACGGGGGAGGTGGTGGTGGTGGCATTTCTACGAATCCACAAACCCCATCCACATGGACGCTTCACCGCTCACGAGAAAATAAGTTCCTCGGCGGAGCGATTCATCCTGCTGCTGCTGCTACTACAGCCGCTCTCTGCCCCTGTCCCTGGTGCTGAAACCTTAACGGCTCAGAGGCTCGAGGCGGTACGGATTTTGGACAGCGCGCGACGCCGCGATTGTTGCCCAGAACCCAAGGGCGACCGAGATGGACGGCGCCGCGCTGGGGAAAACAAGGCGATCGCCGTCTCTGACGGGTAAGCGTGGAGGCGCCGAGACGCCCTTGCGTCGAACGTCTGCGCGTGGCGCCTGGGTCAATGCGACAAAACGTGGGCTGCGCAGAGCCGGCTCCCCTCCGGTGACATTCACGCCGTGCGGTTCGCAGCCCGAGTGCCATCAAGAGTCGTCGCCCGCAGGTCAATCTGCGAGCCTCGAGGGAGCCGACTCTGCGTGTCCACCGGGCGTGTTATGGACTGCGTTGGACTGCATAGACTGCAGTGTGTGAGCGGGTGGCGGGAGGCCGGGCAGGCTTAGAGTCGGCAGTCTCTGGCCGTCGTAAACCGCGCGATGGGTCAGCGAGGCGTGCCCCGCTCTGTCAGTGCCTCCGTACAGACAGCCGGATTAGATTACTCACTGGGCACCACACACACACACAGCAAGCGTCCCCGTCAGCACCATCATCATCATCATCGCCCACTACTACGGAGACCTGGCCAAACGAGGCCATTGAGACTCGCCGACTGTCTCCATCTCGTCCCTGTGGGAGCAGCAGCAGCAGCAGTGAGCCTGGCCAACGAGGGGGCGATTGGACGGCTGAGTCAGCACCGTCGCGAGGGAAGGGGGCGCCCTGGGGTCATGGCCATGGACCGCCACCCAATGTCCCTTTACACAACCCTAGTTAGCGGGACTCGAACTCCTGTGGCCAGGTTCGTAGTGCTGTGCAGCGCTAAGCGCTGAGCGCTGTACATGCACACAACCTCCCCTCGGATCTAGAAACTCCCCAAGGGAGGGGGTCTGGGGTTCCCGCATTTTAACCTTTTTTGTAACAGGGCCCCATGCAATAATGTTTAAAAACACATTCGGTGCATTTTCTGGATCTCAAGATGGGGGGGGGGGGGGCTAACCGCCCCCCCCCCCCCCATCCGCCCCTTCGTCCACCTCTCTACCAACTGCCTCGACCACTGCTGTCACAGCACGGGGCCACCGCAGTGACGAAGCAGCAGCGCTACAATTCGAATTTAAATCTTGGCTTGAAGCTTTCGTGACTGCAGGAATTCACATCCCTTTGGTTCTTTCGGTAGAGTCACGTAGATAGAAAATAATAAAAAGGTGGGGGAAAAAAAACCCACGACGTTTCGGTCGCAACACAAGCGGTCGTCCTCAGGTGAACAAATTACAGCTGGCGGACCCTTGAGAGAAATACAGCGAGAGAGCTGCTTGTGCCAAATGCAGAGCCACTGCAAGCAAAGATCATACACGCTTGGAGTAGGCGGGGCCAGAGATGGAATTTGCAAGTAAATGCAAGATCGCAGAGCTAGGAATACCTCGGCTAATTTTGTCTGCATTACCCACAATACTTGCTGTCAGAATGCAAAAACAAAAATAAGGCGATCGGTGTTACCTCGGAGTCGCGGCATCTCTTCAGAGAAGTGAGAGACTCGATCGGATGAGCCCGTCGAATTTGTCGTGGAGAAACGGAAAAAAAAACACACACAATCGACCCTTCTAGCACCCGATTCGTGTGGCTAAGATGCTGGCAGTGACGGACACGTCTCCTCTGAAGGGTCGCTTCAAAGTGGGAGGCCTCGCGCGTGGCCGTGGGTTGCGTGAAACGAAGTCGCGGGCCGCAGGGGTTCTCCGCCCCTGCGTCAAGGAGAGCACGATCCGTCCCGTTGACTGTGCTGTGAGCTCTTGTGAGAGTGATGCTTGAGAAGGTGATGAGGGTGACGATGGTGGTGATGAGGCGAGGGTGGCGGAAGTTGAGGAGGGTGAGGGTGGAGAGGGTGGAGAGGGTGGAGAGGGGGTGAGGGTGGTGAGGGTGGTGATGGAGTGAGGGTGATGAGAGCGGTGATGGGGTGAGGGTGGAGAGGGTGGAGAGGGTGGAGAGGGTGGTGAGGGTGGTGAGGGTGGTGATGGAGTGAGGGTGATGAGAGCGGTGAGGGTGGACAGGGTGGAGAGGGTGGAGAGGGGGTGAGGGTGGTGAGGGTGGTGAGGGTGGTGATGGAGTGAGGGTGATGAGAGCGGTGATGGGGTGAGGGTGGAGAGGGTGAAGAGGGGGTGAGGGTGGTGAGGGTGGTGATGGAGTGAGGGTGATGAGAGCGGTGATGGGGTGAGAGCGGTGAGGGTGGACAGGATGGAGAGGGTGGAGAGGGGGTGAGGGTGGTGAGGGTGGTGAGGGTGGTGATGGAGTGAGGGTGATGAGAGCGGTGATGGGGTGAGGGTGGAGAGGGTGGAGAGGGTGGAGAGGGGGTGAGGGTGGTGAGGGTGGTGATGGAGTGAGGGTGATGAGAGCGGTGATGGGGTGAGGGTGGAGAGGGTGGAGAGGGTGGAGAGGGGGTGAGAGTGGCCAGCGTGGTGAAAGACTAACTGTGGTTTCACGTTGCCTATCCACGGAGGGCTGACGGCTGGGGTGTATCGCGTCGAGCTGGTGTTAGACCACTCGCAGACTTGGCTGTTGGGTATGTCAGCTTTTATTTCTACCCGGGCTGACACAGACCACTCCAAGCAGAAGAGTTATAGCCTGGGAGCAGGCTACCACAAAGAACAAACGAATAACAATCAACACAAGATCACCCACACACACCCAATCACACCGAATGACCCTACCGCTTTCCCGAGACTCACACAGAAGCTTTGGGGGAAGGGAGGGGGGGTCATCCACCTCCCCTACGCAACTCTCTCTTCGGACAGTGGGAGATGTCCGTGGGCAGGCAAGGAGCCACCCCGGTAACCAGGTGGCCACAGACTTCACTCTTGGCCAGTGCCAGGCTGCAGCCAGCTTGGTTACCCGCTCCTGCCGCTCCTGGCATGCTGCGTCTCAGACATCCCACCGGACCTGGTTACAATCCCCAGGTCGGCCGCTGGAAATATATAATAATAATAACACTATATATTCTTGGTTCTTTCGGTAAAGTCACGTAGAAGGGAAATAAAAAAATATAAAACATTATTTTTTATGTTTTATATATTCCCTTCTACGTGACTTTACCGAAAGAACCAAGAATATGAATCCCTGCAGTCACAAAAGCTTTAAATCAATAATAATACTGTCACCTATCGTTTCCATATAAAATAAATATTCTGTAGAGTTGGAGGCAGCTCTCAACTGCTGCTTACAGCGACGATCCCCTGGTCCTCACTGCGTGAGGGTGGGAGCTCCTGCTGCCGCTCACCACTCCTGCTGCTGCCACTCACTCCTGCCACTCACCACTCCTGCTGCCGCTCACCACTCTTGCTGCTGCCGCTCACTCCTGCTGCCACTCGCTCACTCCTCCTGCTGCCACTCACCACTGCTGCTGCCACTCACTCCTCTCAGTCCTGCTGTCACTCACCACTGCTGCTGCTGCCACTCACTCCTCTCACTCCTGCTGCCGCTCACCACTCCTGCTGCCGCTCGCTCACTCCTGCTGCCACTCACTCCTCCTGCCGCTCACCACTGCTGCCACTCACTCACTCCTGCTGCCGCTCACCACTGCTGCTGCCGCTCACCACTCCTGCTGCCGCTCACTCCTCCTGCTGCCGCTTCTCCTGCTGCCACTGCCTTGAGCCCCCACTGCCGATTCGGGCACCCCTTTCATAGTGCTGCTCAGTCTATTATTTCATTCCCTGGGCCAATCACGTGGGAGGTCCGTCTATAAATAGCCTGAGATGCCCTACCCCTGGATGGAGTGTTCTCCACAGAAGCCGTTCCTGCACCGGTCTGATCACGCTGTGGTGGTTACTGGCTCCACTCAAAGGACTGGGCCCAAAACCACGAGTTTCACTCTCTACAGCTCAAGGGGTGTGTTTCACGCACTAATCCACAGGTGGTGAGAGTGGTGAGGGTGTTGAGGAGGTGAGGGGGGTGAGGGTGTTGATGGAGTAAGGGTGGTGAGAGAGGTGAGGGTGTTGATGGTGTGAGGGCGGTGAGAGTGATGATGGAGTAAGAGTGGTGAGGGTGTTGATGGGGTGAGGGTGGTGAGGACGGCTCAACCAAGGCCGCGGTATGCGCCTGCAGGCCGCGCGGGGTTCCTGACGGAGCGGCCGGGCAGGGAAGCGCGCACTCTCTAACCACGCCCACTCTCTAACCACGCCCACTCTCTAACCGTGCGCACTCTCTAACCACGCCCACTCTCTAACTGCGCGCACTCTCTAACCACGCCCACTCTCTAACCACGCCCACTCTCTAAACGTGCGCACTCTCTAACCACGCCCACTCTCTAACCGCACTCACTCTCTAACCGCGCGCACTCTCTAACCACGCCCACTCTCTAAACGTGCGCACTCTCTAACCACGCCCACTCTCTAACCACGCCCACTCTCTAACCGCGCCCACTCTCTAACCTCGCGCACTCTCTAACCGCGCGTACTCTCTAACCGTGCGCACTCTCTAACCACGCCCACTCTCTAACCACGCCCACTCTCTAACCTCGTGCACTCTCTAACCACGCCCACTCTCTAACCACGCCCACTCTCTAACCTCGCGCACTCTCTAACCGCGCCCACTCTCTAACCGCGCCCACTCTCTAACCGTGCGCACTCTCTAACCACGCCCACTCTCTAACCGCGCCCACTCTCTAACCACGCCCAATCTCTAACCGTGCGCACTCTCTAACCACGCCCACTCTCTAACCACGCCCACTCTCTAACCGCGCGCACTCTCTAACCACGCCCACTCTCTAACCGCGCGGACTCTCTAACCACGCGTACTCTCTAACCACGTGTACTCTCTAACCGCTCCCACTCTCTAACCGCACGTACTCTCTAACCGTGCGTACTCTCTACCCGCGCGTACTCTCTACCCGCGCGTACTCTCTAACCGCTCCCACTCTCTAACGCGCGTACTCTCTAACCGCACGTACTCTCTAACCGCTCCCACTCTCTAACCGCGCCCACTCTCTAACCGCGCCCACTCTCTAACCGCGCGTACTCTCTAACCACGCCCACTCTCTAACCGCACGTACTCTCTAACCGCGCCCACTCTCTAACCACGCCCACTCTCTAACCGCACGTACTCTCTAACCGCACGTACTCTCTAACCGCGCCCACTCTCTAACCGCGCCCACTCTCTAACCACGCCCACTCTCTAACCACGCCCACTCTCTAACCGTGCCCACTCTCTAACCGCGCGTACTCTCTAACTGCTCCCACTCTCTAACCGCGCCCACTCTCTAACCGCACGTACTCTCTAACCGCTCCCACTCTTTAACCGCGCGTACTCTCTAACCGCTCGTACTCTCTAACCGCTCCCACTCTCTAACTGCGCCCACTCTCTAACCGCGCGTACTCTCTAACCGCGCGTACTCTCTAACCGCTCCCACTCTCTAACCGCACGTACTCTCTAACCGCTCCCACTCTCTAACCGCTCCCACTCTCTAACCGCACGTACTCTCTAACCGCACCCACTCTCTAACCACGCCCACTCTCTAACCACGCCCACTCTCTAACCGCGCGTACTCTCTAACCGTGCGTACTCTCTAACCGCGCCCACTCTCTAACCGCGCCCACTCTCTAACCGCGCCCACTCTCTAACCACGCCCACTCTCTAACCGCGCCCACTCTCTAACCGCACCCACTCTCTAACCGCGCCCACTCTCTAACCGCGCGTACTCTCTAACCACGCCCACTCTCTAACCGCGCCCACTCTCTAACCGCGCGTACTCTCTAACCGTGCGTACTCTCTAACCGCGCCCACTCTCTAACCGCGCGTACTCTCTAACCGTGCGTACTCTCTAACCGCGCCCACTCTCTAACCGCACCCACTCTCTAACCGCGCCCACTCTCTAACCGCGCGTACTCTCTAACCGCGCCCACTCTCTAACCGCGCCCACTCTCTAACCGCGCGTACTCTCTAACCGCGCCCACTCTCTAACCGCACCCACTCTCTAACCGCGCCCACTCTCTAACCGCGCGTACTCTCTAACCGCGCCCACTCTCTAACCGCGCGTACTCTCTAACCGTGCGTACTCTCTAACCGCGCCCACTCTCTAACCGCACCCACTCTCTAACCGCGCCCACTCTCTAACCGCGCGTACTCTCTAACCGCGCCCACTCTCTAACCGCGCCCACTCTCTAACCGCGCCCACTCTCTAACCGCGCGTACTCTCTAACCGCGCCCACTCTCTAACCGCGCCCACTCTCTAACCGCGCGGTGCGCGCGTCCCGTAGCGTCCATCCAGCTGGAGGAGACCGTCTCCTGGATCCACGCCCCCGCCGACTCGCACCCCCTGCTGCTCGGAAAGAACGGCGGAGGCGGCATCGGCGTGGGCCTCATGAGCAGCATGGCCCCGCTGACGGCCTCCTCGACGCGCGACGCGGCGCCTCCGCGCACGGTGATGCTGCTGTCGGCGCAGGAGGCGGCCCAGATCTACCACACCAACTACGTGCGCAACTCGCGCGCCATCGGCGTGCTCTGGGCCATCTTCACCATCTGCTTCGCCATCATCAACGTGGTGGTGTTCGTGCAGCCCTACTGGGTGGGCGACGGCGCCGAGACGCCGCGCGCCGGCTACTTCGGCCTCTTCCACCTCTGCGTGAGCGGCGGCGTCTCCAAGGTCGACCTCAAGTGCCGCGGCTCGTTCGCCGACTTCTCCACCATCCCGTCGAGCGCAATGCGCGCCGCCTCCTTCTTCGTGGGCGCCTCCATGGTGCTCACCGTCACGTGCATCGTCTGCTTCGCGCTCTTCTTCTTCTGCAACACGGCCACCGTCTACAAGATCTGCGCCTGGATGCAGCTCACGGCCGGTGAGTGGCCGAGCAAGGAGGCCCGCGTGTGCCGCCCCGGGGCCCTGGAGGGGGGAGGTCGCACGCTTCGGCTGTGGGCGCGCGGCGAGGCATCAAGCGGCATCACGAGGCTGCGTGGCATCACAGTCGTCATCACAGACATCATCACGGACATTACAAACAGCATCACAGTCGTCATCACAGTCATCATCACGGACATTACAAACAGCATGGCAGTCATCATCACAGACATCATCACGGACATTACAAACATCATCACAGTCATCATCAAATCATCATCAAGGACATTACAAACAGCATCGCAGTCATCATCACAGTCGTCATCACAGTCATCATCACGGACATTACAAACATCATCACAGTCATCATCACAGTCATCATCACAGACATCATCACGGACATTACAGTCATCATCACAGACATCATCACGGACATTACAGTCATCATCACGGACATCATCATGGACATTGCAGTCATCATCACAGACATCATCACAGACAACATCACAGACATCATAATTAACATCATTACAGACATCACAACCATCATCACAACAAACATCATCACAGACATCATTACAGACATCACCAACATCATCTGTGTGCGATCCACCAACCCTCGCCGCTGCCTCCACAGCGCTGCGTTCGAGTAGCCACGTGCAGCGCAGCCACCACCACCACTAAGTTGCGGCGACGTCCGGCCACGGCGCTTGTGCCAGGCTAGGTGCACTTTGATTTCACGTGCAGCGCAGCCACCACCACCACTAAGTTGCGGCGACGTTCGGCCACGGCGCTTGTGCCAGGCTAGGTGAACTTTGATTTCACGTGCAGCGCAGCCACCACCACCACTAAGTTGCGGCGACGTTCGGCCACGGCGCTTGTGCCAGGCTAGGTGCACTCTGATGCCACGTGAAGCGCGGGAGGTCCGCTGGCAGGAGACCACGGGACAGCCCCAGGTGCCACTGTCCATCACCGCGCCCCTCGAGGCTCCCACGCTGCTCCCCCCCCCCAACCCCCTTCTGCATGTAGCCGTGTGCATGGTGCTCGGCTGTCTGATCTTCCCGGATGCGTGGGACGCGGCGGAGGTGCGCGCCCTGTGCGGCGAGCGCGCTGACAAGTACACGCTGGGCGAGTGCTCGGTGCGCTGGGCCTACATCCTCGCCATCATCGCCATCCTGGACGCCAAGGTGCTCGCCTTCCTCGCCTTCGTGCTGGGCAACCGCCAGGATGCGCTGCTGCCGCCCGACTTCAAGCTCGAGAGCAAGGGTGCGGGGGAGACCGCGCGCCATGCCCTGCTCCATCATCATCATCATCGGCGGCGGCAGCGGCGCCATCGTCAGCCCCATCATCATCATCGCCATCATCATTACCATCATCATCGTCGGCAGCACCATCATCAGCCCCATCAATACCATTATCAGCCCCATCAATAGCCCCATCACCGTCATCATCACTATGATCAAAACCACCATCATCAGCACTATGATCAACACCATCATCATCATCACCACCATCATCAGCACCATCATGATCATCAGCACAGCTACACTCGTAGTCCAAACGGGTCCCAGGCCCTCGGGTCACCCGTCCCAGGTCTCACGCTGCTGGGTCCCAGCTCCACGTGTTCCCCGCTGACTGGCGCCTTCTTTTGAACGAATGTTCAAGTTCCTCTCTTCCCTCTCTCTCTCTCTCTTCTCCGTTTCTCCCCACCTCCCTCCCCCTACGCTCTCGCGCGCTGCACCTGCACTGCGGCGTGCAGCTTGAGGTAAGACTTCGTGGCTCGCTTTGCCGCTGCTGCTCAAGGGTCCCCTCGTGGAGGTCCTTCGCGGGCCGTCCGCACGGTAGCGGCCGAGTGGCCCGCGACGCGCGGATCGGTTAAAGGGCTGCGTGCGGAGGGGAATGAGACGAACGGGAAGTTGTCGCGGCGTCAGCGGAGTAAACGCGCGCATCTGACGGCGCGACTGACGATGTCGCCCCCTTCCGCCCGCCTCTCTCCTCGCAGTACTCCGCGGCGGGACGAGGAGGAAGAGGAGGAGGAGGAAGAGGAGGAGGAGGAGGCGCCGGGCGGACTGCGCTGTGGACTCGTGACTGCCGGACTGCAGAGGCGTTCGTGTTTTGTTGAAGCGTCACCGATCGGCCGGGCTCAGCCGGCCGCCGTCACGGCCTGTGACGTCACAGACCGGTCGTCACGGCCTGTGACGTCACAGACCGGCCGTCACGGCCGTGACGTCACAGAACGGCCGTCACGGCCGTGACGTCACAGAACGGCCATCACGGCCTTCACGGCCGCCGGCTGCTGTACAAGGGCGGGGCGGTGGGGGGGGGGGTCGTGGGGGGGTCGTGGGGGGGGTCGTGGGGGGGACGTCGCTGCTGTGACCCCACAGAGCTGCGAGCCTCCGTTTTTTTATCGTCGGAAGCGGCAGTGGGAGGTGGTGGTGGAGGTGGTGGAGGTGGCGGTGTTGGGGGTGGTGGCGGTGTTGGGGGCGGTGTTGATAGCGGTGTTGGGGGTGTTGGGGGTGGGTGGCGGTGTTGGGGGTGGGTGGCGGTGTTGGGGGTGGGTGGCGGTGTTGGGGGTGGGTGGCGGTGTTGGGGGTGGGTGGGGATGTTGGGGGCGATGTTCGCGATGAGCCATCCCGCCTGAAAGATTTGCGGCGTGATTTTAGAAATTTGGCAAATCGAAACGCCGGCACGCAGTGACGTCACGGCATCTTTAACGGCCACTGTGACGTGTATCTACGCTCAATACAGCCGCAGTATTAATCGGGGCGGCCGCTGGAGTCGAACCGCGAACCTCAGCGACGAGCGCCGAACGCGCCACGACCACCTGGCCCCGGCACCGCTAGTGCAGGATGCAGCACAGCAAGTAGGTGGGTCCGTACAGGCTGCCTGTGTGTGTGTGTGTGTCTGTGTGTGTGTGTTGTGTGTGTGTCTATATGTGTGTATGGGGGTGTGGAGCGGTGGTGTAACGGTTAGCGCGCTGCGCTATGAACCCGGCGACCCGGGTTCGATTCCCGCTCACGGCCAACACCCAGTGACGATTATCTGAACCGGTCCTGGGCCTCCCCTATATCAACTCAGCCTCAAATGAGTACCTGGTGCGGTGTGTAAACATCGCCACTCGGGAGACAAAGGCGGCCGGGCGTGGTGCTGGCCACCCACCCCCTCGTGTACCGTTCCGGCCTTCATAGGTGCTCGCTAACAGCACTTGCTCCTACAGTCTGTTAAGACTATACGGGGGATCTTTGGAACATCTTCGCCGGTTTGAAATATTTAGGCTGGCCTGCCTACGATCCAGCCTGGATTTAACCAGGCTGTATTGTGTGAGGAGCTCACAAATCCTTGAAAGATCTGGACAAAGTCCCATCGGTGAGCTCCTCTGGCAGGCAAGGCTGCATTGGCTGGGCCATGTAGCTCGCATGCCTAAACAACTTTTGTTCGGCCGGATCGAGGTGGCTAAACGGGCTAGAGAAGAGATGGAGTGATGTGGTACAGGAGGACGCGGAGCTGAGTGGACTTGTCGATGACTGGTACCAGCGGTGTCAAGATCGGCCTCTGTGGTGGAGGCTCGTGAAGGACGGTACTGGGCAGCTGAAGGCAGTCGCCCTCCAACCACAACGGTGGGGGGAGGAGCGACGCTCACAACAACGAGCGGAGCGCCGGGTGGCTAAAGCTCAGCCAGTTGGCACAGTAGGGGGCACAGGTGGTGCATCGGCCAGTCATCTCAGTCAGTCGATCCGTGGCATCTGGTTCTGCCCCGTGACCTCCTGCCGGCGAGCGTTCGACACTTCACACGTGGCCTCAACGTGCACATAGCCTGGCACAAGTGCCGTGATGACGTCACCGCCACTTAGTGGAGAATGGTGGTTGTTGTATGGGGAGCGATAGTGTAGCGGTTAGCGCGCTGCGCTACGAACCCGGCCACCCGAGTTAGATTCCCGCTCACGGCCAACACCAGTGACGATTATTAGAACCAGCCTGGGCCTCTCCTAGGTCGACTCAGCCTAACATTATTACCTGGTGTAATGTATAACCATTGCCTCTAGGGAGACAAAGGCGGCCGGGCGTGGTGTTGGCCACCCACCCGCTCGTGTGCCGTATCGGCCTTCATAGGTGCTCGCTAACAGCACTTGCCCCAACAGTCTGTTAAGGCTATACGGGGGATCTTTGTGTGTGTGTGTCTGTGTGCGTGTGTCTGTGTGTGTGAGTTTTCCTAAATAATGCAGCGCTCACAAGCGCTGTTCAACCCTGCAGAACACCGTCCTTCTGGACACTCTGCGAGGCTTTCCTGGGTAAACTATGAACAATGTATTATCCATTGTGAGTAAAACGTAGATGTTTCGTTTATTCAATATCGTGACATTATCTCAATAATGTGAGCAGAAGAAAATCCCAACGTAAAATAAATTCCTCGTACGCACAGCATGCTAGAGACCGCGAGCGACAGCCAGCGCGTGGCCCGGCGGGACAGCCGTCGGGGAGGGTGTAGGGCGGTGTAGGTGGTGTAGGTGTAGGGCGGTGTAGGTGTAGGGCGGTGTAGGTGTAGGGGGGTGTAGGTGTAGGGGGGTGTAGGTGTAGGCGGTGTGGGTGTAGGGGGGTGTGGGTGTAGGGGGGTGTGGGTGTAGGGGGGTGTGGGTGTAGGGGGGTGTAGGTGTAGGGGGGTGTAGGTGGTGTAGGTGTAGGGCGGTGTAGGTGTAGGGGGGTGTAGGTGTAGGGGGGTGTAGGTGTAGGGGGGTGTAGGTGTAGGTGGTGTAGGTGTAGGGCGGTGTAGGTGTAGGGGGGTGTAGGTGTAGGGGGGTGTAGGTGTAGGGCGGTGTAGGTGTAGGGGGGTGTAGGTGTAGGGGGGTGTAGGTGTAGGGGGGTGTAGGTGTAGGTGGTGTAGGTGTAGGGCGGTGTAGGTGTAGGGGGGTGTAGGTGTAGGGGGGTGTAGGTGTAGGCGGGTGTAGGTGTAGGCGGTGTAGGTGTAGGCGGTGTAGGTGTAGGCGGTGCAGTTGCAACTGCACCGGGGTCCACGAAGCGGAGGGGCCCACTGGCCGGGCTGTGGAGACAGCGAGGGGGGTTGGAGATGGGGGGGGGGTCATGCCTCGTGCCAGTGTCCGTGCCGACCGCGGGTTGACACCGGCACACGGAACGGTGAATCGGCAGACCGCTTGATTGCCAGCCAGTTTGACCGTCGTGCAAGAAAAGTGAGGCCGTGAACTCGAGCCGTGACGATTCGATCAGAGCCCACGAATCGTCACGGCGATGCGATCGTGAATCAATAGTTTGTCGAACGTCGCGATTCCCCGAAAGTGAACCGCATCGGACACGCGTGCCGCGAGCGACGGGACCCGTGGCGCTGTGGGCCCCCACGCCGCCGTGGGCCCCCACGCCGCCGGGAGCCCCCACGCCGCCGTGGGCCCCCACGCCGCCGTGGCCCCCAACGCCGCCGTGGCCCCCCACGCCGCCGTGGCCCCCCACGCCGCCGTGGCTCCCCACGCCGCCGCGGGCGAGGCGAGGAGTCCCGTCGGAATTGCGGCAGAGCAGCACCACCACCCCCCGCCCCCCCGCCTGCCAGAATGGCCCGCGGAAGGTGATGTGACAGAACTGTCTTCTGGAAAAATCACCTTCGAGTGGCCCTTTTCATCGCTACTTAATGGGGGGAGAAGGGCGCAATTTCGCACACGCCGCTACGAAATTGACGTTCAATCTTGTGATCCTCGACCTGATATTTTAATTCCGAGATCTGGGGTTATTTCGCAACAATTGCGTTAAAATCCAAAAAAGTTTTCATATCGGTGTCTTTTTTGTCGCTGCGGTCACTCGCGATCGCATCTCGCGACGTTGATTCTTGAATCTGGATTCAAACTCAGGGTCACGGCGAGGGAGGCGGGGGTGGGGGTGGGGGGACCCGGCGGCTCGCACCTCTGAGCCACGTGGACCACCTCACCAATGGATGTCAATGGGTGACGGATGGATGGCGATGTGGGGAGATTCGCTGCTCCATCTCTCGGGTGGGAAACCGCCTCCGCTCTGTTGTCGACAAGTAGGCGGCGGTGGTGGGGGGGTGGTGGTGGTGGTGGGGGGTGGTGGTGGTGGTGGGGGGGGGGGGTGGTGGTGGGGGGGGGGAGGTGGTTGTCGACAGCTCTTAACGCCCCCCCCCCCCCCACGGGGGCGGGGTGCAATCGGGCTTGACTAGCTGCTGTTTGGTGCCAAATGTACAGTGTTAGGCCTTGTATTTATAGAGTTTATTGCGAAATAAAGTGTTATATAATACATTATAATTGTTGTTGTGATTATGATCCCACGCTCACAACCAACGGGTGTTCCGATGTCCCCAGTGTGGAGTGGAGTTCAGGCACGACACCACCACCCCCCTCCCCCGTTCCCCCAGATGATGGAGCGGCCCAGTCACCAAACACCACCACACCCACGGCTGTTACCGAAAGTCCCCGTTTGACCGGGACAGGTCCGCTGGTATTCACAGAGCCTGAGAATCGGGATGGGTTGTCCCCGGGGTGGAAGGTGTCGCGCTCTGCTCGGGTTACGAGCAGAGGGACGGGGCTGCCAACCCAATCCAGACGTGTGTACCACCAAACACACACAGTGCACACGTGTGTACACCTACACACAGACAAAGATCCCCTCTTTAGCCTCAACAGCTTGGGGGCAAGTGCTGCTAGTGAGCACCAATTATGTCCGGAACGGCACACGACGAGGAGGTGGATGGCCAGCACCTACACACAATCAAACTCACACACAAACAATCAAACGCACACACGTGTGTGTGTGTATATATAGGTATGTGTTGTGCGTCTGTGATATAGCTAAGTAAACACCCCCACCCACACGTGTTCGAGTAGGGGTGTTTATTACACACCCACACGCGCGTAGCCCTGGAGTTCACATGTAGGGAACCCGCAAGACCAGCCGGGTAAGCTCTCTCAGAGACACGCAGAGACACAGATGTTTTATTTAAGCTGGGATAGCCCGATGAGCTGTGAAGCTTCCAGGACCGCAGAGTTTCCACACAACTGGTTCCACTCCAGGTGCAGGTGACGTCTAGAAGAGCCACTTTCACGCGTATCCACCGGGATGGGAGATTTAAATCCACGCGGTGCTCGCGGCATGGAATTCAATAAAGCCAGCCAGGGCGGCCCCAACTCCATACGTACAGCGCCTAGACACCCTGCACCTGGAGTCTGGAGGCCCTGCACCTGGAGACCCTGCACCTCGAGACCCTGCACCTCGAGACCCTGCACCTCGAGACCCTGCACCTCGAGACCCTGCACCTCGAGACCCTGCACCTCGAGACCCTGCACCTCGAGAACCTGCACCTCGAGACCCTGCACCTCGAGACCCTGCACCTCGAGACCCTGCACCTCGAGACCCTGCACCTCGAGACCCTGCACCTCGAGACCCTGCACCTCGAGACCCTGCACCTCGAGACCCTGCACCTGGAGACCCTGGAGACCCTGCACCTGGAGACCCTGCATCTCGAGACCCTGCACCTGGAGACCCTGGAGACCCTGCACCTGGAGACCCTGCACCTCGAGACCCTGCACCTCGAGACCCTGCACCTCGAGACCCTGCACCTGGAGCCGTCTCAAACGTGAGTTGCCGCCTCCCCTGCAGGGGCGATGAGTCCCCGTTGAGTGACTGAGTGCCACTTTGTTGCGGGGTGCGAGTGAACGGCGGGGGGGGGGGGGGGGGGGGGCGCCGTTGGGAGCTGGGCTCGGGGAGGGTTCGTGTCGACTCTTTAATCCCGCACGATGCGATTCATGTGTCCAGTGGACAGCAAGTACACAGAGACACAAAGATCCCCCCGTAAAGCCTTTAACAAACTGTTGGGGCAAGTGCTGTTAGCGAGGGGCACCTGTGATGGCCGGCAGGGTACACGAGGGGATGGGTGGCCAGCACTACGCCCGACCGCCCTTGTCTCCCTAGTGGCGATGTTTACCCACCACGCCAGGTACTTATTTGAGATTGAGTCGACATAGGGGAGGCCCAGGACCAGTTCAGATAATCGATGTAATGTATACTGTCGATTAATGTGCACATTACACGATTACCGCACAATCACACGTGGCGACAAACAGCAACGCGGAACACACCGGCTGGTCTGCAACACAAGTGCACGATCACCACTGGACCACACACCGATTTACAAACACCTTAATCAACTCCACCGCTGGATAAGGGCCCCAATCACACCTTGCGGGTCATGGACGTTGTTTGACCATACTTCACCGCGCTGGTCAGTGCGGGTTGGTGAAGGCGGGGAGTATAGACGTACAGTACAATGGATAGACAATTGAGTTTGCCCGGGGTCTTTAACGTGCCCGGGGTCTTTAACGTGCCCAGAGTCTTTAACGTGCCCGGGGACTTTAACGTGCCCGGGGTCTTTAACGTGCCCGGGGTCCTTTAACGTGCCCGGGGTCTTTAACGTGCCCGGGGTCTTTAACGTGCCCGGGGTCTTTAACGTGCCCGGAGTCTTTAACGTGCCCGGGGTCTTTAACGTGCCCGGGGTCTTTAACGTGCCCGGGGTCTTTAACGTGCCCGGGGTCTTTAACGTGCCCGGGGTCTTTAACGTGCCCGGGGTCTTTAACGTGCCCGGGGTCTTTAACGTGCCCGGGGTCTTTAACGTGCCCGGGGTCTTTAACGTGCCCGGGGTCTTTAACGTGCCCGGGATCTTTAACGTGCCCAGAGTCTTTAACGTGCCGGGGGTCTTTAACGTGCCCGGGGTCTTTAACGTGCCCGGGGTCTTTAACGTGCCCGGGGTCTTTAACGTGCCCGGGGTCTTTAACGTGCCCGGGATCTTTAACGTGCCCAGAGTCTTTAACGTGCCCAGGGTCTTTAACGTGCCCGGGGTCTTTAACGTGCCCGGGGTCTTTAACGTGCCCGGGGTCTTTAACGTGCCCGGGGTCTTTAACGTGCCCGGGGTCTTTAACGTGCCCGGGGTCTTTAACGTGCCCGGGGTCTTTAACGTGCCCTTGGGCACACGGGCGACTCTGGCGCTCTCTGTGCTCCACTCAGGGGCCGGCGTCTCCCGTGACGCCCGCTGGAGGGCGACGCTCGCGGTGGGTCCTCGGCGCTGTCCGTGGGCAGGGGCGGGGCTCGTGGGAGGGGGCGGGGGCTCGTGAGAGGGGGCGGGGCTCGTGAGAGGGGGCGGGGCTGGTGAGAGGGGGCGGGGCTGGTGAGAGGGGGGCGGCGCTCGTGGTAGGTGGCGGGGCAGCAGCATAAGCAAGGAACGGGAAGGGGAGAGAGACAAGGCAGTGGAGGAGGAGGAGGAGGAGGAGGAGAGGAGGGGGGGGGCTGGAGCCCGGCCACCAACTGGGGCCGGGGACGATCTGGGAGAGGGGGTGCCAGACAGTGGGGCCAGCAGCAGCAGAGGTGGAAGAGGAGTGACCACCTTTCACGCAGCGGAGCTCGACGAGAGGGGGGGAGGGGGGTGAGGGGGGTTTCTTGACGTTCGCTCCACGGGGTTTACCCGCTCCGCAGTCGGGGGGGGGGGGGTCGCAGTTCAAGTCGCGGTGTCACGATTTTTGTGATTTTGCCGACGCAAACATTACCGGTGACTTATACATGAATAGCTTTTAAATTAATCAGTTTAATGATTAACTGACGCGGACGATAGAGTGGCAACCCTCCGCATCCAGCAACGGGCTGCACGCGTGTCCCCGTGTGTGCTGGAGACGCCTGCTGCATATCAGTCAATGCTTCATTAAAGTGCTCTATTTACTTATTTCATAATGATTTGCTCATTTATCCAGCAGAGCCACGCGTTTTCAGGAGGGCCCTGTTGCTACGTTGAGTTTGAATGTGAAGTTATTTTTAAGCAATCGATGACGATTCGTGTTTATTATTCACGTGTGGGAGGAAGAAACCGAAGCACCCAGAGATAAACCCACGCCTTGCGCGAGGGGGCAACACTCTATCCCTGTACAGATGGCAACAGATGGCGATTAGTCCACTCGCTGTACTGCCTTCTGACGGGCCAGGCTTGTGGCAACTCCCTCAACGCCCACGGGTAGAAGGGAGTTTCACAACATCTTTGTGTGATCCATCAACCCTCGCTGCTGCCTCCACGGCGCTGGGTTCGAGCACCCACGTGCAGCAGCGTGGCCACCGAGGCCAGGTCCTCATTGGCTGTATTATGCCACGTGTCGTGTTTGTCTTCATTGGTTGCGAGGCCTCCGCTGCTCGATGAAGAGGCCGCCAAGCTCGCGATGAGCACCGCGTCATCGACGTGAGCAGCACGCGGGGAGGTCACAGCCGGGAGGAGGAGGAAGAGGAGGAGGAGGGAGCGGCCGAGGGCGGGGACGGCGCTGGTGATGGAGAGCGGTGATGAGGAGCGGTGGCGCAGCGGTTAACGCACTGCGCTACGAACCCGGCGACCCGACTTCGATTCCAGCTCACGGCCAACAACAGTGATGATTATTTGAACCTGTTCTGGGCCTGCCCCAGATGGAACTCGACCTTCAATGAGTAGCCGGTGCGATGTGCAAACATCGCCACTGGGGGGACAAAGGCGGCCGGGCGTGGTGTTGGCCACCCACCCCCTCGTGTGTTATGCGAGGGGGTGGGTGTTAAGGCTATACGGGGGATATTTGCCTTTGGTGATGCATTCCTCGTCACAGTGACCCGCTGCTCATTCACGCAGCACCACTCGCCTCCTTTTACAGGCGCGGCCTTGCAACCCACATGCCCTTACAGAACCAGGGAGAACTCCTATTCACCAACACACACACAGCCCGATTGCCTCTCTCTCCTATTCACAAACACACAGCCCCATTCCCTGTATCTCTCATATTCACCAACACACACAGCCCCAATGATCTCTCTCCGATTCACCAACACACAGCCCCATTCCCTATCCTATTCATCAACACACACATCCGCATTCCCACTCCTATTCACCAACACACACAGCCACATTTCCCCTCCTAATCACCAACACAGCCCCATTTCCCCTCTCTATTCACCAGCACACACAGCCCCATCCCCCTCACTCTACTATTCACCAACACACACACAGCCGCATTCCCACTCCTAGTCACCAACACACACACAGCCCCATTTTCTCTCCTATTCACGAACATACAGCCCCATTCCCTCTCTCTAATATTCCCAATATTCACCAACACACACAGCCGCATGTATATCTCTCCTATTCACCATCACACATACAGCCCCATTTTCTCTCCTATTCACGAACACACAGCCCCATTCCCTCTCTCTAATAGTCAACAACACACACAGCCGCATTCCCACTCCCTCCTATTCACCAACACACACACAGCCGCATGTGTATCTCTCCTATTCACCATTACACAGTTAAATTCCCTCTCTCCTATTCACCAACAGCCCCATTTTCCCCCTCTATTCACCAACACATACACAGCCCTATTCCCTGTGTCTCTCCTATTCACCAACACAGTTCAATTCCCTCTCTCCTATTCACCAACACACACACAGCCCCATTCCATGTGTAGTGTTGTAAGGACGAGCAGACTTCTTTAGGAGGCACACTCTGTTTATTGTATTATTTCCTTATACAACGCTTAACACACACAGAGGGATATTCGGTCCCCTCACCCGATACCCTAGGGAGGTACAGCCTCCGGACCTGGCGGGACTCACACGTCTACCGCTAACCTCCTTGATACCTAAGGAGGTACAGCCTCCGGACTTGGCGGGACTCACACGTCTACCGCTATCCTAGTCCTCCGGCTAGGACCTAGGGGAGGCTATCTGACCCACCGCTGGCCCGGTGGGTCCTGACCACTGGGTATGCCGAGCCTTAGCCCTTAGAAGGGCTGAAAGGCTGGTCCAGGGTCCTAGCTAGGCTTCAGCCCAGTCTTCTATCTTCGTGCAGGGAGAGAACTCCCCGAGGTCCGTTGGGTCACCCGTCTTATACCCCTTCGTGGCCAGGTAGAACCAATCATGCATTCCCACGTGGAACCGTCTGATTGGTTCGTACCAAACCCTGGCCACGATCCGTTTCACCTCAACTGACCCCAACCGTTGTACCCAGGGGTAATGCTGCACTGCCCTGATGGCAATGCAGGTTACACAACAGCGCGTAGTTAACACCTCTACACATGTATATCTCTAATTCACCAACACACACACACAACCCAATTATCTCTATTCACCAACACACACACAACCCAATTCCCTTTATTTCTCCTATTGACTAACACACAGCCGCATTACCACTCCTATTCACCAACACACACACAGCCCCATTTTCTCTCCTATTCACGAACACACAGCCCCATTCCCTCTCTCTAATATTCATAATATTCAACAACACACACAGCCGCATTCCCACTCCCTCCTATTCACCAACACACACACAGCCGCATGTGTATCTCTTCTATTCACCAACACACACACATCCCAATTTTCTCTCCTATTCACTCACACACAGCCGTGCGATTGCCACTATTCACCAACACACACACACACAGCCGCATTCCCACTCCCTCCTATTCATCAACACACACAGTCCCATTCCCTTTCCCTCCTATTCACTAACACACACATCCGCATTCTCATTTCTATTCACCAACACACACACACAGCCCCATTTCATATATCTATCCTATTCACCAACACACACGCACAGCCGAATTCCTTATCGCTCCTATTCGCCCTCCTCATCCACCCCCTATTCGCCAAGGCCACTCCCCCACCCTCCCAACACCACAGGGCCCCTCCCCGCCTGCCTCGCCATATTCTCTCCGCTACTCCTCCTCCCACCGCTCCGTTGTTCAGCACCTCGGACAGCGGCAGCAGCGTTGCGCTCTCCACCCAAACCCTCTCCCCGTGCGCTCTCCACCCAAACCCTCTCCCCGTGCGCTCTCCACCCCGAGCTCTCCTCCAGACCTCTCCCCCGCGTCTCTCCGCCACAGCGATGGCTCTGCCCGTCTCCATGTTCGTCGCGGTCCTCGCCATCGCCAGCAGCGCCACGGCCAAGGTGAGAGTTCGAGACGCTGCCGCTGCAAAATTTCGAAGCGAACGACCACAGCGAACGACCACGGCGAACGACTCCATTCCCATCGCGGCGTCACCCCAGCGTCCCTTTGTGTCACTGTGCACGCTCGCGAGATGCCTCGTTTATACATTAATGACGACGCGCAATGCGTTATCGCCGCACACACCTATGACACATGCATGACACACGTATATGTACGCTCACCACCACGCGTGTTCCGCGTTGTTGTGTGGTTTAACCGGCGCCAGCTGCCGCGATTGATTGCGCGTTGTTGCTGTGTGTACGGCATGGCTGCCGCTCGGCTATTGGATCGTTCCTCCTCCACTGCCTCGCTGCTTCAAAGCGAGCCCGCTCTGAATGTAAAATAACGATTTTGGGCACTGACTAATGGTGCTGAGTGGGGGTTTCTTAGAATAAACATCTCAATTAGCGACGAATTCACCTAGAGCGACAGCTGCAGCGACCAGCCATTGAAGAGCGCCTCCCATTAGCACGGTTGACTACGTACGGTGCGAAAGAAGTTGAACACACGTACAGAAGCAGCACCATCGTCATCATTCGCCAACGTTGCTACGAGTTTACAGAATGAATGGCGCATCAGCTACGACTTATCGGCACAACGCATCGGCTCAACGATGAAATCGCCCACGGAACACACACGGCACACAAATATCGGTGATGAAGGCCGTGATTGCTTCAAAATGAGAGGCTATTGCGCATGCACAGGTGTGCAAACAGCACGCTGGTAATAAACTCTGGCAGGTGGGACGCGCCGTTAACACCCGCACTCGGCACACACACCCCACACACACACACATACCTCACACACGTACATACACACACACGTACCCCACACACACACACCCCACACACGTACACACACACACACCCCACACACGTACCCCACACACACACACACCCCACACATACACACACCCCACACACGTACACACACACACCCCACACACGTACCCCACACACCCCACACACGTACGCCACACATACACACCACACACGTACGCCACACACATTCACGACACAACACATACACACCCCACACATACACACACACACCCCACACACACTACACACCACACACACACATTCACTATACAACACAGCACACACACCCCACACACGTACGCCACACACACATTCACGACGCAACACATCACACACACACCCCACACACACTACACCCCACACACACTACACCCCACACACCCCACACACACATTCACTACACACAAACACCACACACACACACCACACACAGGACACACACAAACACCACACATACACTACGCACACACCACACACCCCACACACACACACCGCACACACACACTACACACACCACATACACGCCACACAAACGCCACACACACCACACACACGTCACACATGCACCACACACGCCACACATACACCACACACACTACACACATACACCACACACACTACACACATACACCACACACACCACACACATACACTACGCACACACCACACACCCCACACACACACACCGCACACACACACTACAAACACCACATACACGCCACACAAACGCCACACACACTACACACACACCACACACACTACACACACGCCACACACACCACACACACCACACACACCACACACACACCACACATACACCACACACACCACACGCGACAAGGTCTCAGCCCCATGCCCACGCAAATACGGTGACAGTGACGCGCCTCTCGAACGCTTTGGCCGCACGGCCCCCCGATCCCATGGCGCCCCCCACGCCAACCCCCACGCCAACCCCACGCCAACCCCCACGCCAACCCCACGCCAACCCCCACGCCAACCCCACGCCAACCCCACGCCAACCCCCACGCCAACCCCCACGCCAACCCCACTCCCTGACGCTCCCCTGACGGCCGCGCCTTGCCCACACCGCACCGATCGGCGGTGTCAATGGCTCCACAGCCAAACATCGGCACCCCCTCAGTGACGGCGTGGGGGGCTGTCGGGGCGTGGGGGGCTGTCGGGGCGTGGGGGGGGGGCTGTCGGGGCGTGGACCGCACGGCGTGCGGAACGCGGGGAGCGAGACGACGGCCGAGGCCATTTTGTTGATGTGCGCATCGCTCGGCCGAGGCGTGGGGACGGAGCAGTGGAGAGAGGAGGGAGGGGGGGAGGGAGGGGGGAGGGGAGGGAGGGAGGCGGAGGGAGGGGAGGGAGGGGAGGGGGAGGGAAGAAGGGAGGGGAGTGGGAGGGAGGGAGAGGGAGGGAGAGGGAGAGAGGGGGAGGGAGGGGGAGGGAGGGGAAGGGAGGGGAGGGAGGGGGGGGGGAGGGAGAGGGAGGGGGAGGGAGGGGGAGGGAGGGGGAGGGAGGGGGAGGGAGGGGGAGGGAGAGGGAGGGAGAGGGAGGGAGGGGGAGGGAGAGGGAGGGAGGGGGAGGGAGAGGGAGGGAGGGGGAGGGAGGGAGGGGGAGGGAGGGGAGGGTGGTGGCCAACTGGGCGATCTCGCGTAGGATT